CGGTCAGGCAAGCCTATCAAGACGCACTGCATACCGAACTGTCTTGTTCTAATGACACAGCTTCAGTGGAATAGGATCTCGGCCGCCATGCACGACGCAGAAGCATCTGCTTGTGGTACTATCCATCGTGACCGCACCAGTCAATGTATATCATATCCGAGAGGTCGGTGAACCTGTTGGAATCTAGAAGAAACCTCCCGTCTGGCTCCGAGCACAATGTGATCAGACGGGCTATTAGGTGGAGACTACGTGCTGACAAGGAAGCCTGGTGGACCACTCGGGCTCAAGAAATGGAGGAGGCAAGAGCAGTAGACAATTACCGCAAGCTCCTCCAGCTGACCCGCACCACTGGTCCCAGGAAATTAAGCGTCAGTGAGACAATTAGAGACAGCGCGGATGTACTGATAAACAATAAGGAGCGCCGTATGTTTCGTTGGGCGGAACACTTTCAAGATCAGTTCAGCTGGCCTCCTTGCTCACGGAACTCTTCCTACTCAGTTGATGCAGGACGAGCCATGGACGGTTAGTTTAGAGCCTGCGTTGGAGTCCGAGGTCCGAAACGCCGGATTCCCTCCCATCTGCACTATTAAAGGATAGAGATGAGTCCTCTGCAAAACACTGACCTCCCTATTCGAACGTATCTGGGAGTGTCCCGGCTGATTGGAACGAATCGATTATCGTGGCAATATACAAGAAGCGCAGTCGCACAAACTGTTCTAACCACAGGGGTATTAGCCTAACGGCAGTTGTGACAAAATTACTGGCCTCAATTCTCGTTCGTCGCCTCACTATGGTACGGGAAACTCGGATTGCGTCAGAGCAGGCAGGTTTCCCCTCAGCACGTGACTGTATAGACCATATAGTCACTTTGCGGCAGGTGGTTGAGCAGCGCCACGCATACCGCAGAGCGACAATAGCTGTGTTCCTCGATTTCAAGAGTGCCTTCGATTCAGTCGATCGACCGATTCTGTTCGAAATACTCTCGTGGAAAGGTGTTCCCACGAAATATGTGAACATCCTACGTGCTCTATACTCGAACACTACAGGCTGCGTCAGGGTCTACGGCGGCCTATCGGATAGCTTACCCACCACAAGTGGCATAGGTAAGGGTTGTCCGAGTTTCCCATTTTTGTTCAATTTCGTCGTGGATTCTATCATGGAGTGTTCCCTTGCGGAATCTCATGATGTGGCCATTGAAGTGCTTCCTGATGAAAGATTAGTTGATCTTGATTATGCGGACGATATCGTCTTGCTTTTCGACAATGTTGCGGCGGCACAACCAACCCTGATTAGCCTGTCTAGAGTGGTCCCATTATTTAGTACGCGCTTTGCACCTTCAAAATGCAGTGTTGCTGCAGGAAAACAAGCCATTTGATGACCCACTGATTATAGTTAACGAGGAACTCGAGGTGATTGACCAATGCACTTAGCTTGGCAGCTGCATCAGCAACCATAAGCGAAGAAACTGACGTCAGCTCACGCATTGCAAAGACCAGAGCTGCCTTCTGGAACCTGCGGCATCTTTGGCGATAGAAGGGAGTTTCCCTCCGTCTGAAAGGTTGTATACAAGGCCACAGTAAGGGCCGTTCTGCTCTATGGTAGTGAAACTTGGCCCCTTCGGTCTGAAGATCTGAGGCGCCTTCAAGTCTCTGATCATCGTTGTCTGCGAAGCATTGCTGGTGTCTGATGGCACCAACGTGTCCGCAACGATGATGTGTGTAGGCGAGTACTAAGTAGTGATAATCATGCTAGCTCCCTAGAACAACAGATAGCAGTGAATAAGTTGCGTTGGCTCGGGCACGTGCTACGTATGCCTGGTCACCACTTACCTAGCAGGGCCTTGTTTAGTCTGCCAGGTGTAGGGTGGCGCAAGGCTAGACGTGGACAGACGTTGACTTGGCAGCGGGAAATGAAGGTACTGACGACCAAACTGGGTGCCGTTGGTCCGTCTCGTCTTCCGGGCTGGAGTCCACGTGAGTCGCCTTGTGCTTGGCATGGTAGGAAAATCCGCAAGAAAGCTGTCTCGCCGATGCCGCCTTATCTTCGCACGATAGCCAGCTGTTTGAGATGGTTTTCGTTTGCAAAAGGTGTAGACGCCTTGACCCTGAATGTTTGCTTAGGGCATTAAGGTTTTCAGGTAAGTCTCCATTCTCTACCTCTTATTATTCTTTATTTCATAGGTCATCATGGTTGTATTGAAGCGAAACAGTTCAAATGGCTGATGTACTGCTGTTGTTGATGATGATGACGTGAGCAAAAGAATCAACTGACCTGGCTCAATGGGTCAGGAGCTTTCCTTTAAGTTCAACCTAATGTCATGAATCTGACTGGGCTTGTTTGCAAAACGAGCAGGGTTCAGTTCACTCGACCGCAATTAATCCCAAATTTTTGCTTACGTAAAGCGGTACAAATCGACCCACACCTGCGTTACTGCGAACATATGGGAAGCGTGCGCATACCGATTATGACAAGGCCTGTATATTGAGCGAACAATATACTGGGGCATTTGCTCGTGGGAACTCCACAACACAGGTTAAATTGGTTTCCAGAGTTCCGATTTTTTGGTTGGCTGATTTTAACATAACAGAGAATCAGGCCTTCGTGCTAGTAGAAAGTATACATCCCTTAACTGCCACCCGCCCTGATACGATTCGTCCGGAGCTGATGCATGAATGGGTCGTTAAAGCAAGTGATCCTCTCACATACGTGTTTCCAAAATCGATTAATCGCACCCTACCTTTGGAATGGAAGGAGGCCGTCTTCTGCCCGTTCCTGAAGAATTGTGAAAAAAATATGCCCGCGAACTACCGGCCTGTCAGTTTGAAAAGCGTGGTCGAGAACTACGAAACATTTAACCTCCTCAGTGGCATGCAACACGGGCCCCGTAAGGGCTTGTGGTTATGAAATCTGGGACCACGCGGTAGATTTTGGCTATGCTATAGACTTTTCGAAAGCGTCTGAGGTTGTCTCACATTTTAGACCCTCAATAAGGTTGTATTACGAGGTATTTGGTTGCGCCCTTATATATATATATATATATATATATATATATATATATATATATATATATATATATATATATATATATATATGTATATATATATATATATGTATACAATGCGCGTACAAGTGAACCAAACCCTCTCTGCTTCAGTGCCTATGACTAGTGGCATTCACCAAGGATCAGTGCTTGGACCGGAGCTCTTCAAACTGTACATTAACGATCAGCCGACCGCACTTCAAACCGACTGCTTGATCTATGCTGATGATCTCAAGTTATGGTCAACAGTAACTAGCATTGAGGATGCGGACAGATTACAAGGGGCTCTAGACCAGCTACACGAATGGTCCGTGAAGTGCGAACTGCTAGTACACCGAGATAAATGCGCTGTTCTAATGGGTAGCACTGAACCGTACGGTGCATTTCTCCTCAGGAATACCACCCACGAGAGAGATCTCGGGGTTACCGTGACTTTTGACCTTATAACGACGCAGGACACTTTGAAGGTGGCCACTGGAAGGAGACTGGTGGGTGTCTTAAGAACATTCGCTCGAATGATCCCTGAGATTGTTTCGACCTTTGTTCACTTCGTACGTCCGTCAAGTCTTAGAATATAGCCTACTAGCTGGCCATCCGCTTTCAAAGTTTGAATGCGCTCTGCTGGAAAAGGTTCAGAGACGCGCAGCGAAAGCTGTTCTTTACGTCTGCTTTGCAATCATAAGGTCACCGGTACGAATCCGCGAAAAGGTGGGCGTCCTCGCGGTATACTCAGCCCGCACGCGACTGGTGGTGGTCGCGCGGCAGCGAAGCGCCGTTACGAAGTACAGCTGGCACATTATTATATCATTCACCCTATCCACTAGTGGTAAATGATTGGAACAGCCTAACGGAAAAAATTGCAGAAGCTCCATCGGAGGAAAGTTTCAAGCGCCTGATAGACAAACATTCGCTGAGAATGCTGAAATCTTGCGGTTGTCTGCAATTGCGACGAACACTCGAGGAACGTCGTAATGCAACGACACGCATCAAACCCAGTATGATACGGAATCGATGGGGCTGACAAGTGATTTCTCTCCTGCTCTCTACAACTCAATGAACTGCTGGTGTAGGTGACGTGGGCACTGAGTGGTTGACCGTAATCTAATCTGAGTGTAATGGCTTGGCTCCCCTCGGCTCCAAACTGATCCCATTAAATCAATCCTGCTATAACGCACTGAAGAAGGGGCCCATGGGATTTTCCTGGTTCCAGTCCCAACTTGAACTTAGTGCATTCGCACCCTACAGTGGTTTTTATTGGTGTAACATGATTGCGGAATGATGATCATGACGGAAAGGGTGCTCTCTTCTGTTTTAGGTGCATCAACATTTCAAAACAATTAGTCAAATGCTGCTGTTTGACGAACTGCGAAAGTAAAAGTTAAGGGATAAACCCTTCATTCGTCCTAAACGAGCAGACGTAGAACCATACAAAACCAAAGAAATAAAACGAACGTTACGAGTATAAGTCGCAAAAATGCAATTTTTATTTTTCGCAGTCTTTCCAAGAATAGAAAAATCTGATTCAACTCCGTTAAAAACCAACAAGTACACGATAAACAGTCACACTTGGTGGCCCCTTAATATGGGCCGCTTTGAGAATTTGTCGAAACGCCTGCATTTAGTTAGTGGAAAATTCTCGGTTGCGACTTTTCGTATACAACCACATTTAACACAAGCGGAAGCATTTATCACGAGTGCGGACACAGCGACAACATATAGGTGACTTCACCTGATACATGTACTAGTAGACGAATGCCGACATGCAGACTGATGCCAATAATTAAGCGGTTCGCTGACGTGTCACTGGCAGGCGACTTCAGGATTGCTCAGTGGCGCTGGATTGCTTGGAAAGCTAACACTGAGCACAGCACATTAAACTACAAGACAGGATCTCAGGTGGAGTGGGAGAAAGCCGTTCTGAAGTCAGAAAGAGAGCAGATGGAATTAGAGCACAAGGTATCTATACAAACTCCCTTTAATTGAAATTCAAAACCGAGTCATTTTGCTACTCGGCTGTACAGGGCGTCTATATATGTTAGCAAACAGTTTAAAAACGGCAGGCATTCAAGAGAAACAGGCTGGGAAGTCCAGTTAAGCCAGTGATCGTCGTGTGATCATTCTTCCAATCCGCATTCGACTATGACTACATCGCTCAACGGTCTATCCGAATTGTTTGTCCGCGTGTGTTCAATCTTTTGGACGACATCCTACGACATTATATTCAGCAAAATAAACGTACCATTCCCTCGATAACCTTTCCGAAAACAACGTGTTTCCCGTCTAACCAATCGGTTTTGATGGTTGTGATAAAGAATTGGCTGCCATTCGTATCAGGCCCTAGACAATCAATCTGAGCAGAAAGAATCATACCAGCGTTAGCCATCGACACATCACCGGGACCAGTATGTTTGAGCAAAAAGTTTTCATCGGCAAAACGTTCGCCGTATATACTACGGCCTGAAAAATGACTAAGTATCGAAAGTGAACGCACCCCCAGTGCCGTCGCCATTAGTAAAGTCGCCACCTTGGATCATAAACTGCTTGATGACACGATGAAACTTGCTTCCCTTGTATGTGAGCAACTTGTTCTCCACCTGAAAGCACCGTTAAATAATGATCGTGCACTCACCGTTGTTCCCACAGCAAGCTCTTTAAAGTTCCGTACCGTTTTTGGAACGATATCACCGAAAAGGCCTATGACAATCTTACCAACTTGTTCACCACCAATTGCAATCTTGAAGTAAACCTTACGACATACGTATATATATCTATCGTACAAGTCACCTTATCAGTGATCTTTGGATCATGGCATTTTATTAGGCCAAGAGGCAATAGAAACAGGAAAACCCAGTAAGGCAACGCACACATGGTCAATAGGGAACTAACGCAAACGGGGTAGGACAACAGACAGCTGGGGTTAATGTGCTTGGGTACGTCACGTACAACATGCAAGTTTGAGTATTGACGAGGTTTCGACTCACTATTTTATACCGGTTGTAATATAATTATTTTATCTTTAGTAATTGTTTACAACTTTAATGGATTTCATATACCTATTTATTTATTCACGCTTTATGTCAAGTTTTTGCTTTCTTTATCTTTCGGGCAACAACAATGTAACTGCAAACAAAGCCGCAGGTATTCTCTTTGTGTTACTTTAGATATTTCCATCATTCATTTCCCATTATATACATCAAGGTATGCAGAATATAATTTGTCTTGCGTGCTGTACAGTAGTACGATGGCTGCGAATGACCTTCAGGCTTAGTTACCGCCATTATCCCGACTGAAGTCTATAGACAATACGTCATTGCTATGTGATGCAACTGAAGAGTTAAAACGAAGCATCTATGCGCATAGGTTCCGTATAAGCAAAAACCTAGTTGTATTTATGAAAACTAAGAAGTATAAGAAATCAACTTGTGATGCTGTGTGATGTTTACTCCCGCTGATGTCACGAAATTTGTACCGGCCTCCGAGCAAATTAGTACAATGTGCTATCATCCAGCGAAAAACTTATGTTTGAATGTGCTGATTGTCGCGCTCAGAAAGCGGAGCTTCCGGCTTACCCCTATGCTAAATTCAAAGCACTGGCGTCCAGGTTCACAGTTGTTGAGTATGCGTTATCCCAGCTAACCTCACTTGCTTTGGTCTAGTCTAATGTACCCTCGCTTGTGAAAGCCCGAAATATTTTGACTGTATACGCTGTAACGGGCTGTTCTTTTGCTGAGACGTTTCCCTTACTGAGCCCTCCAGTTCAAATAGTTATTACTGACACAAATGCCTCGGACGGCGTGGTTGACCAGCCCCATACAGCGCCAGTAAAATATAAGCATACGGGGGACAAAGGAGGTAAGCTAACACTCCGCTTCTGTACTTGAAGTGATAAAAAGCTAGAGGCAAGCGTTTGCTCTGGAACCACCGCCTCGTGCTGCAATTCCTTCAGTGAGACTTGAGGTGCCGTCGCCTTCGGTCCCACCGCTTCCTGTCAAACAAGCATGTGGCGCGGCTGGTAGAGCATGTAGAGTAAATACACCTCGTCGGGGCGATTCTTACCCAGATGGCTGTGTGGTTTTCTGAAACGTCACAGAATCCAATGCCACTCTGCCCACCGAGCGCATGCTTGATGCTCTTGCTTGGCTTAAGTCTCGCTTGACCAGGCTTTACAACCCGGTTTCCCTGGCATTACTTTCAAGTAGCGCATTAGGTTGCGGAACGCTCCGGTTGGTCAACCAACTCCTCGAACCCGTCTGCTTAAGGTGGTTTCGTCTACCCCAGAAGAACGCAGTGCCTAACTGCAGCGTGCTAACGTACCAACATTAGCCCGCAACCAGACCTCCCGTTAGCGGTTAGTTTAAGGTTAAAAGAAGCCAGCAGAGACCTAAACGCCCGGTGTGCAGCTGTCGACTGGTAGTTTTTCTGGTGGTCAGCCGGTGGTCCTTATTCGCCCAGATAAAACCTATTCTACTTACGCACGACTCAGGGCTGGTAGTGCCGAAGTCATCCAAGTAGGACTAAGTAACATGTGTTGCCTGAGGAACAAGGTGTGCGAGCTGGGTCTGCTCTCAGACAAAGCTCGTCCAGATATACTTGCTTTCATTGAGATGCTGCTGTCTGAGGAAATTACTGATGGCGAAGCATATCTGCAGGTCTATGCACGGTACCGCGCTGACCACTCCATTGGCCGTGAAGGGCGTGGTGTAAATCTTTGTGTGCGTTATCACATAGACGCATTTGGAGACCTGCGGGTTTCAGTCTCTCACGAATCTGTTGAGCCTCTCGCAATCCTGATTTGCGCTTCCTCGGTTCAGGTTACGGCCGTGTTAGTGTATAGAAGCAATGGAACCTTTGAGTTTTAACGCACCCACACTGCGAACACGTGTCTAGTGCTGGGAGACAACAACTTGCCTGTGGTTTGTTGGGATGATCTATCTTGCAGTTCGGCGCTGGGATTTTTCGGTACAGAACTGCTGGACTTAACGCTGTACCATTTCTTGGCCCTCCACACTAGGTGCATGAGAAATCGGCAGTCGTCTATTTTAGACCTTGTATACCTAAGTCCCTTGACTTTGTAATCCACATTACTTACGACTCGCCTCTTAGAGCCAGCGATCACGTTTGCTTGTTGTTACAGTGTAGCCTTATCAGGCCTCGCCTGGCTACTACAAGTTGGTATCCGAACCTTTAAGCCTGCGGACTTCCAAGCGATGAGGGATAAAGCTACGTCATCGCCTTATGTGATACCTGAGTCTGACACAGTTCACATAACCTGGAAGACTTAAGGCCCACCACGTTGACATTTCTGCACCTCATATCCCACTAGTAAAAAGAAGGGAAGCGTGAGCTCAGCCTCCATCAATAGCTTCAGCGGGTGAATACTGCTATAGAAGCGGTCCAGATGCTGTCCAGCGTATCGAACTGCTCCGTTGAACAGCACATTTATAGGTATCGATTGGTTCGAAATGGGTGCAAGCTACGTCTTAGATTGGCCCGGCTTCCATATGAAAAGGGCCTAGCCCTTACTGCCTTGACAACTCCCAAGCAATCCTTTGCCTACCTTAAACGACATTGTGGTGCAAACTGGCAAATACCACCGTTCATCCGATGGGCTGGGACCCAGTCCTATAGCGACTATGACAAGGCGTGCATGCTTGGTGAGCAGTACTCAAGCGTCTTTGTCCGCGAAACAAATACTCCATGCAAAGAAGTGGCTGCAAGCGTCTCCGCGGAAGATTGTCTGGATGAAATTACTGTAACTGAGTCTCAAGCTCTCCGGCTGCTAAGAGGTGTAAACCCAACTAAGGCTTTCGGGCCAGATTCTGTTCATCCAAAATTGTTGCAAGAATTGGCAGTGGAAGTCAGTGGACCTCTGCCTTGTGTGTTTCAGAAGTCACTCAAAAGCTGTCTTGCCTACCAAATGGAAGGAGGCTGTTTTCTGCTTGATATTCGAGTGCGGTGAATAGACCTTCCGGCTAACTACAGGTCTGTCAGCTTGACTGGCGTGGTTGTTAAGTTACTTGAGAAATTAGTACGTGATATAGCGGAGAACCATTAAAATATGTTTAACCTGTTTAGCTTCAAGCAACATGTGTTCACCAAGGATCTGCGTGTCAAAAGAACTTGCTGGTAGCTCGTGAGAGCTGGGATGAAGCCGTAGACAGTGGAAATACGGTGGATGGGGTGTTCACTGACTTCGCAAAAGCCTTTGGCACCGTCCCCCATTCACGATTCTCACTGAAGTTGAGGTCGTATGGAATTTCTTTGCCTGCTTTTCAGTGGGTGTCAGCTTTGCTGGATGGACAGGAACAGTGTACTCGTGTGGAAAACAGTCCTTCTTTTCCACAAGCTGCGTTAGCGCCTTTCCGCAAGACTCTGTCCTAGGTCCGCCGTCGGCGGAGCGTTGTCCCCTGCATCCTTGCCCCGAGCGGAATCCCACGGTTGTCTGTTCTCGGAACGGACCTCTTCCTGGCCTTTATTGATGACAGCACATCGCAAATGTAACATTCACTGCTGCTATACGCGGAGGACGCGAAGTGGTGGCGCACGATTAACATTTCGGACGACACCCACGCGCTTCAGACGGACCACGACGGTCTACGTCAAATTGGAACCTTATGTTTAATGGTGAAAAACGTTCGCGTCGGGTCTTATAAAAGACCAAGCAAACTTACAGCGGTTTGTACTTGCTTGTTAACTGCATCTTTATTATGCTTTTGCGGCATTTAAACCGAATGTCTGCCTGCTCAAAGTGCGACATTCCACCACGCCCTCCGAAACGGATATAAGAAAGCATACGGCAAAAGCGAAGAAAGCAGAAAATCTATCAGATAGAATGTAGTTATATCAAAGGATATCACGGTATTGCTCAACCAGATGACAAGCCAGGCAAGTATCAAACTCAGCCGCAGTGCGTATCAAGGATAAATCGGCAGGCAGAGCATTCCACCGTCGGCAGATTTGCAAAGCTACAGTACTGTCGCCTGCAGTTCAGGTGACTGTGCGGATGTGCGAGCCTCCGTGTGCGGCCACGTAGGTGGGAGCACTATTGATGCAGTGTGAGCAAGTGGCGACAGGGATGTCCAGGGTTGGATAAGATCATAACTGCAATGTGCATGTCTCCACAGAACCGACAGTACTTAAGCAAGTAGAGGCCCAGTCAATGAAGTCGTTGTGGATGCTTTGGGTTCTTGAGAACTCGGACCGGTTTGGTTGCCCGATGTTCTGTGGATTCGAGTGTAGGTTAGTCCTACAATAATCAGCGGTTCCAAGCCTGAATGGCAAACTCCAGGTAGAAGCTGAGTATAAGCGTTGAGGAAGAGGTGGAAGTGGCTGGATTCAATTTGACCAAAGGTTCGTTTCAGCAATCACAACATGCGGTTTGCAGCAGCGTAGCTGCTTTTGGGCATGAAGCGGATACGGAACGACTCGTCTGGGTAGTGATACCCAAGACTCTTTAGGCTGAAGAACTCTGGAGGATAGACGCCCCCAGGTAATGTATTGGAGAAAAACCGGAAGGGCGGATAGAAAGTACTTAACAATTCACAGCGTTAACTGAGAGGTTTTTTCCTGCTGCCCGTTGTTGTAGGCGGTTCAGGTTCAACTGAAGTGCTTGGTCATCGTCCGGAACGTTAATTATGCGCCACAACATCGCGTCATCCGCGTATAGCAGCAGCGAAGATGCCATTTGCGGTGTGACGTCAACAATAAAGGCCAGGAAGAGGTCCGATCCGAGAACCGACGACCGTGGTAGTCCGCTCGGGGCAAGGATGCAGGGGGCAACGCTCCGCTGACGGATACTTGGACGGAACCGTTTTGGAAGTGGTTCCGTATCCAGCGTTTCAGCGCCCCTGTAACCGCCGCAGGACACCAGTTTGCCTAGTAAAATGTCATGATCGACTTTGTCGGAGGCTCTGGCGAAATACAAGAATATAACATGCCTTTCTAGGCCAGAGTCGGCAGCAGTCGTCCAGCTATCCCTGGCAAGTTATAGGTTAAGTAGACACA